ACGAGAGATCAGGTAAAGTCCATCCCTGTGCATTTCTCTCCCAGAAACTTTCTCCCGCTGAATGTAACTACGATGTTGGAAATCGCGAATTGTTAGCCATAAAGGTTGCCTTGGAGGAGTGGAGACATTGGCTAGAGGGAGCTAAACACCCTTTTCAGGTACTCACGGACCATCGGAATCTGCAGTATTTACAATCTGCTAAACGTCTCAACCCCCGTCAGGCAAGATGGACTCTGTTCTTTACCCATTTCAACTTCCAGGTTTCCTTTATCCCCGGAACAAAGAACGTGAAGGCGGACGCGCTATCCCACTGTTTTCCTCATCAAAGGATGTCCGAAGATGCTACTCTGATCCTGCCTCCCACCTGCTTTGTCTGTCCCATACGGTGGAGCTCCATCAATTCAACGAGGGACATCCTCAGCCTTTGGATTGCCCGCCGGACCGTACGTATGTCCCGTCGCAGATGAGAAACTCTGTTCTCCAATGGATCCACACTTCGCTTGGCTCAGGATATCCTGGGGTGGATGCAACTACCCGTCTGGTAGCAAAACATTACTGGTGGCCCTGCTGGAGACGTGAGACCTCCCTCTACATTTTATCTTGCCATGTTTGTGCCCAAAATAAATCGCCGACTCAACCCCCCACAGGATTGCTGCACCCTCTCCCGAGTCCTACACGCCCTTGGTCTCATTTGGCAATAGCTTTTATTACAGACCTTCCCTCGTCGCGGGGATACACTACAATCTTAACCGTGGTTGACCGTTTTTCTAAAATGTGTCGGCTCATTCCTCTGCCTAAGTTGCCATCTGCCCTAGACCTCGGGGAGCTGCATCTCCAGTGGGTGTTTCGATATTACGGATTACCTGAGGACATAGTGTCGGATCGAGGACCCCAGTTTACCTCCCGAGTATTTCGGGCTCTCTGTGCCAAACTAAACATTCGGGTTAGTCTCACCACAGCTTATCACCCCCAGGCCAACGGACAAGCATAACGGCTGAACCAAGAACTCTGTAAGGTTTTACGGTCCCTCTGCTCCGCACAACCCCAGGATTGGGCTCGATACCTGCCGTGGGCAGAGTATGCCCGGAATTCTCAAGATAATCCTGTCACAGGTTTAACTCCCTTCCAGTGCGTGCTGGGTCTACAACCTCCGCTGTTTCCTTGGACTCCCTCTCGCACTGAGGTTCCCGCGGTTGATCAATGGTATCTGCGATGCAAACAGGTGTAGAGTGAAGCGCGCCAACAGCTGTGTAGAGGAACCGCTCGGACAAAAGCACAAGCAGATCGACGGAGACGTCCGGTACTGGTGTATCATCCAGGAGACCGGGTTTGGCTGTCGACACAACATCTCCGAATGCCCTGAGGCCGTAAGCTTAGTCCAAAATACATCGGTCCATTCAAAGTTACAGCGTGAGTAGGACCCGTCACCTACTGTTTACTGCTACCCAGGCTGTACCGTATTCATCCAGTCTTCCATGTCTCTCTTCTCAAACCCGTTCGTTACAGCCTCGCTCATTCCCCCGCAGATGCTCGGGACCCACCTCCACTGATTCCCTTGGCTGATGGTGAAGGTTTCACCGTGAATTCCCCGCTGGACTCTTGCCGCCGTGGACGGGGTTTGCAGTATCTTGTGGACTGGAAGGGGTATGGTCCCGAGGAGCGATGCTGAGTTCCTGCCTCTGATGTTTTGGATCCTGCACTGATCACTCAATTTCATGCAGATCATCCGTCCAAGCCTGGACCCCGGCCCCGTGGCAGACCCCGGCACGGCGATCGACCGCCAGGAGTTGGTCGTCAGAGGGGGGGTTCTGTCACACCAGCGGCTGCGAGCGATCGAAGCCACGCCCCCCTTCGCTACACCACGCCCACCTTCATTATTTAAAACCCCGCACGACCGTCATTCCGTGCAATCTCCGAGCGACTTTCTCCTTTGTCTCTGTTTCAGCTCTGATCCGCCCGACTCTCCCTGCGCCTCCAGACCCGTCCCACTCCCGTCCGCCCCAGCCCTGATCTACCCTTGTGTTTTCTCCCTGTGTACCCTGTCTGCGTCTTCGGACAGACCTCCCGGCTCTATAACCTAACAGCATCCGACCCGACAATGATCACGGATTCCCCCTTGGCTTTGGTATTTCAGACAGGACGGATTCTGGTATTGACCCTGCTCGTGACTTGGATTTCCCTCTGGTTTGCCCCAATAAAGGACTTTCAGACCCTGCCCGAGAGTTCTGTCGTGACACCAGGGTTGCGGAGAGGTCTGGATCCTATCCTGGAGGCTATGAGCGCAAGGCAGGGAACACATCAGGATGAGGTGCCAACCCATAAAGGGATCTCATTTTCAGGAATAATCACAATATGTATCACATTTGTATGATGTTAAATTAAACAGTATTATACATAAAATGAACACTAGTATTAAGCCATAAGTTTAGACTATTGGTGTCCCCTCCCCACTATTGGTTTATGCTAAGTTAGGGAAGGTGATCTACAGTCAAGTAAGCAGAGTTTTCTATAGGCATGCAGAACACAGACAGACATCAAGGGACCTAGTGCAGTTATCTCCTGAACTCTTTCCAGTCAGTTGTTAAGCTCTTATATCTGTCTGTCCTGAATAGTGTACGTGAAACACATTACTGAAGGGTGCAAATCTGGCAAGATGTTTACATGTAGCCATGCAGCTTCCATACTCTACATTCTAATGCACACTGCGTAGTTTAACATGTAAGCTAAAATATATCATACACATGCTAAAGTACATACATTTGCTGGACTTCCAGACTGAACATTTAGTAGCAGCCTGCTACAAAATCCTCTGACATCAAACTGTAACTCCATCAATTGAACATTTGAATTTTCCCTTTTAAAGACAGTACCACCTGCAACTGATTAGAAATTTTAACTAGTAGCAGTAGTAGGTGATCCAGGAGACTGATATAATTGGCGCAAGATAAATGGCCGAAAGGATAAAAAAAAAAATATCTGTACAGTAGTCTTAGTCAAGTAGTTCATATGTGTTGTCGGGTAAGGTATCTACAAAACAACAAGCAACTTTTTATGTGGGATCTTTTATTCAATGCAGGATCTCCACCGAACCAGGACAAGAAAATTACAATTTGGCCTTTGTAAAAAAATCCAGATTTAAGAAAACCCTTAAATCAGGCTAACCAGAAGTTTTATAAAACCCCTTATTCTCGTTCAAAAGTAGAAAATAAATAGAAAGGGAAACGGGAAAAAGATCCCCAGTACGATTACAGTAGTGGCAGTCCCCTTTTATCAGTCGTTTTTCTACACGTGGCTTCCTCAACACATTTCTTCACCCAGCAACTACCACCCACTGAGCTCACCAGGCCAGACCACCACAGCGTCCACGCTCAATCCACCCTCATCTGACTTCCTCCTAAATCTAACGCTTCCAATTCCTCCTTGGTTACAATAAACCCCAGGGATTTCCCCAAATACCTCACTAGTAATTCAGACTGAATGAGGATCCCTCTTTTCCAGTAACCACATGTCCACCACACCCTAAAACGCTTCCCTTTATGCAGAGTGATGACCTCACTCCGCAGCATCACTCCCTTAAAGGGACTATGTTCCTCCCTGTATTTCCACCCGGTTACGTATGTATGAATGATCAGTTTTGGACTGAAGAGACTGCAGCCTTTAATGTCATAGATAAATAGTTCACTCTTCCTTTAAATCTCATTTACAAGGAAAGTTCCTCCAGGTTCCTTCTGCCAGGGTCTGGATCAGCGTGTGGCCCCGGCTACACTCCCTCCCCATGGATGGCTGCCATTTCCCACGGAAGTCCTCTCTCAGTACCTTTGCAGAACATCAAGGCCTTGGATGCCACAACACTTACTTCTCTGTGTGTCAGTATCGGAATTCAATTGGACTGGAATTCAAGTAACCAGAGGAAGACATTTCAAATCCAGAAAGTAAAAATCCAGACCAAGATTTTGTTTCAACCAACCAGTTGAGTATTAAGAGTCAGTCACAGAGTACTCAACATGTTGGTTAAAACAAAATCTTGGTTTGGATTTTTACTTTCTGGACCTTTGTGAATACCCACTGTCCTTTAAAAAATATTTTCTTGACTCAAGTTTTAATAATAGCTAAATCAAGAATTCATAAACATTGAATGAAAAAAATTGAAACGTCTGCTCTGGATAAAAGGAATATCTTTATAATCATATGAACAAGCTGTAAATTTCAAGCATCTTCCTGTACAGTCACAGACAAGCTGCAGCCTATTGCAGGAAGAACAGCGGCACCCTGTATGGGATTAGAGCGGAGAGCTTGGGAGGCTGAGTGACTTCACAGGGATATTATGTTAAAGGCAGCAAACTGCATTCATTATTTTCATTAAAATAAACATGCATGACTAAGTGTATTCTGCTTATTTACATTAAGAATTTTACTAGCAATGAAGGCTAGAAAAGCTTTCCATCACATTGGAATCACTGGGCATTCTAGGTTCCTTTGTTACAGGAAACATTAAAGGAACAGGAAAATAGCTATAAAGAATGATGTTAGGCTAGTGTCACATCAAAAATTATTCAAATGCATATATAAATATTCTGAGGAGAATATGCATGTGAAACTTCTACTTACCTGTAGCATGAGGATGAAATTGTGAGCTGACAACTGTGACCACAATGACAAAAGCCTTCAAAGTGGGAATTGGTGCGGCATAGAGCTCTTAGGATATTAGCTAATTTTTCCTGAACAATAAACCAGTTATCACCATGCTTCCTGGAATTGGCTGCAGTTTGTCTGCAATTGTACAGGACAATGCACTAAACCTACAGTTTGTTCATACGATTAGAAAGATATCCCTGCTATGGGAGATGACACCTTTGACAGATCGTGTCAAATGGAAGCCATTAGCCAAAGACTTTGGTATCCATACAACAAGGGAGGGCAGGGGTGTAAATTTCACAGAGATGTGGGTTTGTCTGCTTGTGTAGATCTTGATCAGTATATTGATTTTTTAAAAGGATCAATCAGACTTTCAAAAAACTTTATTTTAATGCAACATACAAGTGATCATACCAAACATGTTACCACACAAAATGCACACACAAACATATAAATAAATAATTTACCATTTAGTAAAGACAACAGCTTTAAATGTCTCTGGATTTGAAGACAATTTGATAGTGTAACACTGAGTCACAGTTTACAAGGAGACCACTCTGGGGCAGGAAAAACATTTTACAATTTGTGAAATGATACAGATATCTAATGGTGAAGTGCTCTTGCCTGTTACAAGGCAGTGTAAACACCACACTGTTGGCATTACATGGAAATACTTCAATTTCCTATTCAGCTTATTATTGCACAGTCCTGCCAAGGTTTCTCTCCAAAAGGCACTTTACCCTTTGCTAAGTTCATTCCTCATTGCATGAAGGCTGAATTACATTTTTAACAGACTACACATACACACAACTGGCACTCAAGATTTATATAGAAAAATGGCATCTATAGTTAAAAAATATGTTGATATAAGTTGTGATAAAAGGTTTGTCACAGACAATCAGTGCAAATTGTGTCATGTGAAGTCCCCTTGTAGTTAGTGAACTTGAAAACTTGTAACACATTTCAACTTCATTAAATATTTAAATAAAAAAAATAAAATAGTTTGCTCTGCACCTAGCCAGTCACCGGGGGGAGGCACACAGGTGTCCCCTGGCTGATCAGTGCACCTGGCCTGCGTTGAAGGATGTCAGTGTGGGCAAGAGACGCTCCTGTGCTATTGCTACGTTTTCCATAGTCCAATGAGGCCAGACACCAGCCAATCACAAGACCCAAAACTGAGCCTGATACGCTCCACAATGGAAGCAGAAGTAATACAAGGTTACTTAGAGGTTCAGCGTAAGGAGATGATGTGGTGCTTTAGCAGCTGGACAACATAGCTCAGTCGGCGACGCAGGTCAGGACAGCAGCCAAGCTCAGAGAGTGCACTCAGGCTGAATGTGTACGACACACGCTCCTGGCTGATGTAGGTTAACATGTAGGAATCAGAACTCTTACTCAAAATGATCTTTGTGTGGTCAGTATAGAAATTCACCTGGAGAAGGGAAAATAGACACACTTACTTCCTAAGACACCCATGCCATTTATTACTCAAAATATATGCAAGTGTAACAGTCTCACCTGCACGGTGCCGTTATTGAAGAGCATGACAAGCGCATGGTCAGTCTTGACCCACTGCAGCAGCAAGGGTGACAAAAGAGTGTGGTCTATGCAAGGAAGATCGCCACCCTGTAAAATCACAGATTCCACATTCTGAGTTGGGAAAGAAGGATATAAAGGAAAGACCAACACATCAACAAACTGACTAGTAAACCGTTCTGACCAAGAGAGAAGTCCCTTACCTCCATGAGGTTCTGCTCCATGTATCTGGCCATGTACCCTACAACCTGCATCTGAGCCTGCAGCTGAGCCGGGACAGCACATGCCTGGAAAATGAAGTTCTTGTTGCTGGTCAAGTAGTAGCACACAGTCCTGCAGAAGAGAAAAGTAAAATTGCTCACAGTCTTGACAAACTTACTGCTGAATTGCAAAGGCTTTTTACAGTGGTTAGTCTTACTTGCGCTGGTCACACAAACTGAGGTGAGTCCCATCATTGAACAAAACACCAATGTCCTGGTTGGAGAGCTGGTAGCCAAAGCCATACTTGTTGGAATAATCAACCCACTTCGTGACCCAGACAAACTGGGGCCTGATCAAGCAGGGGGGATTTACAGAGGCTAAAAGAAAGGCAATTCCTTACATCAAGGAAGGCAACAGAAAGTTCAGAGAATCCATTACATTTTTAGAACATGTTACAGAAGCATTAAAAACCCTAGTCTGGAATGTTACCTGGAGGCATCGAGGACAAACAATCACGCAGAACTTTAATGACTAACTGTGCCACTGTGGCAGGTGTAAGGCCATCTTCAGAAGCTACAACAGAGGAAACACAGGATAACAGTACCGCTCACCAGACAACAGGCATTACGTTACATTAAGGCAAGATCAACACATCAACCAAGAGGCCAGTAAACCATTCTGACCAAAAGAGAAGCCACAACATATTAATACTATGAATCCAAGCTAAGCCGAGTACCTTTTGGCATGGTGCCTCTGAAGGGGCTGGAATTTTGGGCCTCATCCTCTGTTTGGGTGGTCAGCGGACTCTTGGCAGCCCGATTCACACAAGATAAACCTGACTTCCTTGACCTATGCTTCGCCTGGATGTTCAAGACACTGTTCATGACCTCATGAATACAGGACAAACTGGACTTCCTTGACCCATTCTGTGTCTGGGTGGTCAATGAGCTGTTTGTGACCTGATGAACACTGAACTTCCTTGACTCCACCTCTGCCTGGATGGTCTGTGGGCTGTGTGCGACCTGATGATCACTGGTCGAGCTGGATTTCCTTGACTCCTCCTCTGCCTGGATGGTCTGTGGGCTGTGTGTGACCTGATGATCACTGGTCAAGCTGGATTTCCTTGACTCCTCCGCTGCCTGCATGGTCTGTGGGCTGTGTGTGACCTGATGATCACTGGTCGAGTTGGATTTCCTTGACTCCTCCTCTGCTTGGATGGTCCGTGGGATGTTTGTGACCTGATGAACACTGGCTGAATTTGATTTCCTCGATGACTCCTCTGCCTGTATGGTCTGTGGGCTGTGTGTGACCTGATGATCACTGGTCGAGTTGGATTTCCTTGACTCCTGTACCTGGATAGTCAATGCCCTTTTGATGACCTTATGAAGACTGTGCGATCTGGTCTGTGGTGGGGGGGGGAGGTCACAAAAACCAGTCCTGTTAAATTAAAAACCATGGGTCTCAAGGGAGTATCATTTGACTATGATTTGGATAACAGGAACATACCTTATTTTTCTTCACTGTTTTATAGCTCATCTGCCGGCTTTTGACAAAGCATGTTACATGTTTGGAAATATCATCCCATTCCTCACAAGACAACTTATCAGCTGCAAGACAGGAGGTGATGCCTCAGGAACTTGAACCAAATGAACAAAGATGCTAGATTTGGTGGGTTTGAGCTGAACAAGCGTACCTTTTAATCTCTTCTTCTGAAACAAGCTCTTGGCCACCTTGGTGAAGAATGTCTTCACAGGACTAGGAGGTTTGAGCTTTGGCAGAGTAACACAACTACTAGGGGGAAGTGTGTCGGGGGTGAAGCCCTAGGGAGGGGGTGTAACTCACTTCAGTTAAACAAAATATCATACAGGAGGTGTAAATGTCACAAGCAAGTATTCCGCACTGAAACCTTTTACATGTTCTTACTTTAGTAAAGAACTCATGACGCAGGATCTGGTCTAGAGTGAGGCGATCGGATGGATTTTTCTGCAAGATCCCAGAAATCAGCTTCTGAGCTGCTGAAGAAAGGGTCGTGGGTAGTATGTACTTTACATCCTTGATACACTTGTAGGTCTCCTGCAAATCCAGGGTCTCAAAGGGTGGATTGCCAACCAGCAATGTGTACCTGTGCGAGAAAAGCAACATTTGTTTTTCATCTACAAGTGAAGTAAAAATGCAAGATGGAATGGTGCCCATGCATGTCTGTGGCAGAGAGAAGCATGAGTATGATGTAAGCATGAAATCACAGAATAGAATGAAAGACGGGAAAGGACGCCCCGGTTCCTATCGAGGGAAAAGATGCCCCGGTTCCTATAGAGTGTCCCCCAATATTTATCAAATGGAATTTTTCTGAAAGCTTTCGTTTTCACTTTGATCTTTAAGCATGGGGATGGTAGGGAAAATACATACATGACACAGCCCAGTGCCCAGATGTCTGATTCTGGTCCATGGCCTTGCCTGTTCAACACTTCCGGGGCAATATAGTTTGGGGTTCCACAAATTGTTCTACAACACACACAAAAGGAGATGTAAACAAACATACACCTGCTTTATCTTGCTGTAGAAGCCATTTGAAAAAGTCTCAAAAAGCACCTACTTTTTCCGATGTCCTGCTGGCTCCAGCTTGGCTGCCAATCCAAAATCACCCACCCTCAGCTCCATGTTCTCATTCACAAATAAATTGCCTGAAAAACCAATGGCTTTGTATGAAGTCTACACTCAACCCACACCTAATAATTGGGAACAGTAACAAACTGCAAAGTTATCACTACACAGAAATCCACATGAAACACAAGCACTGGGAATGCCTGGACAAATACCTACATTAATATACAAAGGATTAAACAAAGCACGCAAACAAACCTAGCTTGATGTCTCGGTGGAGAATTCCTTTTTTATGGAGGTATCTCAACCCCAATATGATCTGTCGAAGGTAATACCGCACTTCTGGGTCAGTAAGCGTGCGTCGAGTTTTCCAGATGTGTGCCAGCGACTAGAAATGGGGGCAATCTGTGTCAGATCCTTAACATTCAGTAACTGTCTGCAAAGGCCGGAGAAAACTGGACATACCTTCCTACTGCACAGTTCCATGAAGATGTAAATGTAGTTCTGGTCCTCAAAATTGTGCAAGAACTTCACTATGTGCTTATGATGCAGGTTTTTGTGAAGCTCAATTTCATTCAGAATCTAAGAGAGATTTAACACATTACCTCCCAAGGTTAAAGGGACATGCAGGTAAATGGCCAAGGAGCAAACATTCATCAACTCCAGGCTTTTCTCGGGGGGTGCAAGGTGAGAGAGCCCAACTAGTCATTCAACCAGAAAAACTTAAATAATAAATACATTTACAATAAATTATTACACATTGATATGATTAATACAAGTCACATTTTCAAATATAACTTACTAAATGGTGGACATTATTTGGAAATTGTATTTTAATTTTAATAATTTTCTCCAGGAAATAACTCCCATACAATTGCACCCTTGGTAAAATCACATATGCCTGAAATTAAGCATAATTCATATCACACACCTTGTCGCGATGCGGAGCTTTTAAGGCTTTGCCTTGGGGAATCACCTTCACGGCATAGGACTTGTTGGTGGAAAGGTCTGTCATTTCATAACATCTTGCAAAACCACCCTAAAAACCAAAACGTGTTAGGAACTATTGAATAAACTTCTCTCGTCTGTAATTATTGGGCACAAACTATCAATATATGATTGTTCTAAATTACCAAGGCAACTGGAACTACAAATCTATAATATACCAGTACACATTTCGACGATTCCGGGAAAAAAAATGCCTACATATCAGCTATATGGTTCTCTAGATTGGAAAAGCTGCAAAATAAAGCACAGCTGCCGAAAGGCGCAGCGAAATGCCAGCAGATTATCAGCGTGAACAAGAGGGTGGCTGCCGCACCAGAGAACCTGCAACGAACCATGTGGACGCAACCTGTAGGCTTTAACTTCTGATTACGGGTTCTCAGCTCATCACATCCATGTGGATCCACGTTAACGGAAGCGGACGTGAATCAAATGGTCCCCATTCGACGGAGGTGAATGTCCGACCGCCCAGCCCAGACGGAATGGTGAGTACCTTTCCCAAAAGCTTTCCTCTGCGGTAAGATCTTCCGGTTCTGGCGTCAGTCACTATCTGGCCCGGTTCCGGTCTCATTTGATCCGCTTTGACCCGGTTCGGATTCCGAGTCCGCCGATAGCAACAGGGGCATAAACCTGCATCCATGGTTTAGCGGCACGGGCGCTAAACCATATCGCCGCAAAAGAAAAACAGGAGTGGATGGCGAGCAGCGCATCCAGTCCTTACATACCCTCCGGCACACAGGCAGAAATGGCGGTCAAACCGGGGATTCCGGAGACAGCGCGGAGCCCCCAGTGACGCCAGAGGGCGGTCGGGCGACCGCAGCCAATCATATCTCAACTACTGAGTGCTGAATGAATTGTGTTATCGTATCGGAAATTCGTGCCACAAGCGAGGGTGTATGGAAATTGGAAACAATGAAATGGCTTCCACTCCGATTATAATAAATCTTTTTAAAAGTGTTTTTAAAAGCACATGTCATGCAGAGATACGTATTTACTATTTTTAAATCAAAAATACAATTCTACAGCCCTATTCTGTATACATCATATGTTTAGAAGGTTAACTCTCAATAGTGCAATAAGTACAGAGCTTATTTATTTAAATATTTCTCAGTTTCCACAAAGATATATTTCTATCTCCTATGTTTGCACAGCATTTGCTTGATACCAAGTAGATAATTTAGGCATGTATGTGTGTTATTTATTTATGACGCACCTGGTAAATGTCGTACTTGTGAGATACACTTGCACAATGACAAATAAAAATTCCTGATGCTCATGTTTACATAACAATGCAGTAAATTTCCGTACTTGCCCGAGTGCTATGCGCCCTCTAGTGTTATGTGCCGCGACAACTCGACAGTATTTGATAGAGTGCAGACAGAAATGTTAACTGGGTGTGAAGGTATACATACAGCTCTGGGGAAAAAACCTTTTCCTTTTTCTTAAAAAGATCGTTTTCATTTTCTTTTTTATATAAATGTACATTATTTTAATAAATGAACCTCCAAGATAATGACACAAAAACGTGCCTGCATAGTGCTTATAGCATTTGCAATTTTTGTTAAAATAAAGTGCAATATTAAAATTTGAATTAATTTAGATTTTATACTAGTAATGTTTTCTACAAAATGTGGATATATTCAAAGTTGTATTGTTTGCCAGTTCTGCAGTTCAAATTTTCTCAATTCTGAAGTAAAATGTAAGGTGCTGAAAATTTTTAGGGAAAGATCATGATGGTGTTGTCTAGTCTGTATGTGAAATATTCTGGAAATTCATTTGTTTCTAGCAATAAGCCAGAGGAACTGTTTGCAGCTTTTATATTTGTTAACCATTTTGTATTTACTTTTTGCCGTGCAGGGTGGGTTCTGCTGGCAGAAAGTAGGGGGGTATTCCATGAAGCAGGATTAAGGGAAAGTCTGGCTTATTTCGATAAGTCTGTCTTATTTAAGTGAGAGTTCCGTTCCATCAACGTGTCTTAAATGAATCCCAGCTGAGTTGCCATGGTAACTTGCACCTCCGAACAAGTCTGCTCGGGACCAGGCTAACTGTCTCGCTTAGTTTAGCGTTGTCTCAAAGAACGTCCGTCGTGTGGGAACAGATTCCCAAAAGATCGTTTCGTCGGACGACATTCTGCGATTTTACTATTCATGTCATATCTGTTGAATTATATGTCATCTGACATTATATTTTACATTATCTGATTTACTTTTTTGTTAATTTGTAAGGTGTACCAAAATGACATGATTTTGTTTGAGTTAGCAGGATAATGAGTCTTGTAGGCCTATATACGTATATTAAAAAATGGAAGCTTGTAGTCAGTGCTGTGAGTAAAAGCAAGACGGGAAAGCAGAGAATAAAAACCATCTTTTCTGAAGTAAAGCTCTGCGTGATACTTTCATAATATGGAGAACAGAGCTGAGATTGCTACATAATCAATATAATAAAGCCTATAAAATCACGTCTTAGCATTCCAATTAATTCCAAAATAATTACAGTAAAATCCCGTTATAGTGGACTCGCTTATAACGGAATTTCGCTTATAATGGACAAACAATTTCGTCTCCAGGGCCGCTTTTAGATGTGGTTCCGTTCGGCTATAACGGACATGCAGTTCTGCCTACAAGGCGTGTGGCGTGCCGGTGATATGCAGCGCAGATACGTACGTAGTCGGGATTAATTATATTAATAGTCACGTATCTGGTTAGGTAAAGTTGGATTACTACATCTACAATATAATAATCTATACCACAAGTGTGTCTGCTGGGGTGTGGCATGAGTAAATGGTGTCGTGTAGTTGTGTTCTGGGCATACAGCAACTCTGGCTATAACGGACTGTTAATTGCCAGGTCCCTTGAAGTCCGTTATAAAGGTATTTTACTGTAAAATAAAAGCGTACGCTTTTACAAAGGTCAAACATGAAATGCAATGACTGAAATTGAAAGAAAATCTGTTAAAATAATATGAACAGGAAGATATTTTTATATTTTGTTTAGTCACAGTCTACTTTGAAAGCTTATAAGTGAAAAGCAAAGACAAGATACAGTTATTTGTGCAGAACATTTCACACGGATGTGACTGAAAGTATTTTACGGAGATCAAATAATATTATACAATAACAATGACACGGGAACTCAACCCAGCTGGTTATGGGAATCGAACCAGCAACTTTCGCGTTATAAGGCGACAGCATAAACCACTGTACCACCATGCCAAGCACTTACAACATTTACGTAACTTGTACATTTAATCTGTCTGTAATGCATTGCCAAGCCAAAACACTGGCTGTGTTTATGACCACAGTATTGCCTTTTTTAACGATTACATCTTTGTGTTTTTCATACAGCTCCATCAGCAGCGTTTGTTCTGCGGCGGAAAGAAACACCGATCTTGTTTTAAACACTTTCCGACTCATTTGGTCGATCTATCGTTCATCCATTCATTTGGGCTTCTTAAATATCGCGGGTGTGCGCACTAAGTGAGACTATGCAAGTCTGCCTTGAATAAGCCTCGATTAGTTAAAACTGAACTGAGTTCGTGGAACGACATGAGGCTAAGTTTAGAGATGGAGCTAATTTGAGTCTCACTTTTTCGCGTAAGTCTGGCTTTATTTAGCTACTTTCATGGAATACCCCCCAGGTTGCTTCCAGGTTCAAAATTTCTAAGCCAGCAGTACACAAGAAGAAGGTGAAACAAGAGACACTGGGAACAACCAGAAACAGGCCAGGTAGAGGGTGGAAACAACTTTCTAATGGCAGAGATGACTGTCAACTTATATGAGTTTCTCATGAATCAGAGGATGACATCAAGTGACCTTCAAAAGGAATGGGAAACATTAAGTGCAGGTGTGAAGTGCACTGCTAAGACAGTTTGTATCAGGCTCTTGGAAGCAGGGAAGGAGCCCTTTGTTAATGAGAAGCAGGGAAGAACCAAGCTGCAGTTTGCAAAAAATATATATTACTCACGGACGCACACCCATAAAGAAATGAGTGAAACATAAAATTGTGCTGTGATCTTTTAATTTTCTCCACAGCTGTACATTATATGTGTGTGTGTCATTTTTGTGGGGACTCTCCATTAATTTCTATGGGAAAAACCCTAATCCCAGCAATGAGAACCTTAAGCCCTACCCAGCCCTAACCTTAGCTGTAAGTAATCAAACAAAATATGAGACTTTTGGCATTTTTAGTTTTCTTGATTGTAGTCACACATTTTTATAAAATTGAGTTTCCCCTCCTGAGGACCAAAAAGGTGATCATCACAACATTAAAATGACAGGTTCTTATCATACACACACTCACACACATACACAGATACACACACACACACACACACACAAGTTGGCATTACTACAGTGTTTTCCATATAAGTTTTATTTGTTCCAAACATTCCAATCATGTTTTTTCCAATTAACATAATAGATACAAAATCAGATGTATTAAGATAATTGTCTAACTACATTTCAGTAACAACAGTTATGCCACTTTACACATACTGTAATTTTTAAAGTACACAGACAGAGCAGTTTTTCCAGTAAAACACCAGACCAATGCCAGGTCAGCCGCATTACTTCCCCACGTAACAGCAGAAGGGTGACACGCTGCACCCTTTGGTGGCTCAGAAGTCCATGACTTCCCCTTTCAGCTTCTTCTCCTGGGACTCAGTCCAGGCCTTGCTGATGGTGCGCTTCATCTCATCATCGCCCTCCGAATAGATCTTCTTCAGCATGTTCATGAGTCCCTCGCCAGGATCTGCATTCTCATCATAGCTGGGCTTCCTGTCAAAATCAGTAACGCCCTTCAGCAATATAATAAAACATCTTGCACAGGCATAAAAAGACGTTTGGAACTTTCACTCCATTAAACTTTAATAATAAGTCAGTTCCACCTCAGCTGTTAAGCTATGCCTATTGCAAGAAAAACCTCATCAGTTTGGCTTCCTGACCAATTGATTTGTTAGAATGTGGATCATGGATGGGTGGCACTGTGTTTCAGTAAGTAGCAGTACAGCCTCACATCTCAAGGGTTACGTGCATGATTCTTGCCCCTAGGTCTACATAGAGCTTGCATGTTCCCCTCCTGTTTCTCTAGATTTCATTCTGCAGTTCAAAAATGTAGTTACAGTAGGTGAGTTTTTGTCATTTATTTTTCCATGTCTTGTCTGAAAGTCTGCCCTACAATGAACTGGCATTCCAGCAATGGTGTATTCCTGTCTTGGGGCCTATGCAGCCTGGGAGAGTCTTCAATTCCCCCCCGATCCTGAGCAGAATAAGCGGTTAGAAGATGGACAGACATATTATTAATGGATGCACCCCTGCTTCATGTGTAGAGAACTGGGGCCTTTGAAATGCCTATAGTGTGTGATTAAGTGAATGACAGTAACAGCTACAGAGGCCACAGCTTGTGTTTGGCAAGCTTGCAGGAGCCCTGAGTAATGAACCAGAAGACCAATGCCAGGCCTGGTTCACTCACTCTTTATCTTTGGTCTGCTTTTCCACCTGGGTCAAACACTCCCACCTCTTCTGTGTCTTCTTTTTGCACATAACCAAGACCATGTCCGTTTTTATCTGTAAGACATAAACCAGATATAAACCAGGCACGAGGGGGTAGTCTGCCATGCCATGCAGTATATGAGACCAAACCATTTCTGTACATTTCCGTGAACCCAGTGCTGACCTTCCTGCAGCTTTCCGTAACATTTATAGGACAAAGAAGATTGTTAATGGTCATTTGATGGTTCTTCCCATCAAGGTCCTTAACAAGCAG